TCCTCGGGGTGCTCCTCGGGGTCCTCCTCGGGGTGCTCCTCGGGATCCATGACCCGGGGTGCCACTACCTCCTCCGGATGATCTCGCAAAGTCAAAGGACATATATCCGAAATTCGGGGAGATCATCGGCATGCCACCGTATCCGGAGGTGGGGAAAAATCCCATACCGCCCATGTGCTGAACTTGAGGAGTTTGCTCAGGGTGGAATACGTACGGGGGAGGAAAAGGCTGTGGCGGAGGCTGGAATCCGGCACGCATGAACCGTTCCATCTCCTCCAACCGAGCTTTTGTGGCCTCATCTGCTTTCCGCTGCTCCTCCCATCGCCGTTCGTGCTCCTCCAGTTCACGCTGCAGTGTAGCAATACGAGGATCTTCTCCCCGCCTTGACCGAGAAGAGGAAGCACCGGTGCTTCGATCATACAAAATCCGTTGCCCCTCGGACCCCAAGCACGGAACCCGGCCCTTGTAAACCCCGGCCGCCTCAATGGCCGCCTCATCATCCGCATCGGAATCGAGGTCGTCCTCCTGGGTCAAGCCTCGTGCCGCACGCTGCCTGTCAACGGATTCGTTGTACTTCGTCTGCATTTTCAAAAATATTTTTTAAATGCTACATACTTAGATTTGAAATGTTACTAAATAACAAAATATGATGTTACATACTTCGAAGTCAGCGAGGCGGGGTGGCAAATCGGCTTCAGATTCCTCGCCGTGCTTCGTCCAGCAATGCTTGACGAGCCGGAGAACATCAACCCTCTTCTTCTCAGGACCAGCCTAAATGGTGTGAAAAAGACTTAAGTAAATTTTTTATAATGAAGGATTGTGATGTTGTAAGGTTTTTTGAATAGCACTTACAAGAGTTTCCTTATGGGCATTCTGAGATTTACGACCTCCGTGCCACTGCATCTCCAAGGCCTTCTCGGACATCCGGTTTTTCTTACCGGATTCACTTCTAGCCAAGAATTTCGGATCAGAAGACCAGTGGAGACAAAGGTTGGACCACACTTCATCCGAAACCCATCTAGGCTTTTTCCCACTTTTTCGCGCACGTTTAAAAGTGGCGCGAAGCCAGGTCGAAATCCTAGCATTGTAGGCTTTAAGAATATCGGCACCGTTTGCGTGAGTCCAACGATAGCGAGCCTTTATTAAAACAAATTGGATTAATTAATCACCAGGTATATATTAGGCCAATACAATCAGGGAGGGAACATTCATTTATTTTTACCTTGAACAGGTTCCACCATAGTTCGCGAACCTTGGGGTCAACATCCGACAGCGTGGCCCAAGTGCCAAGAAAGTGTCCTCCGATTATGCTTTTGATGCCTTTGAACACTTGTTCGTCACTTAAAAAAATTAATAGTATTTATTTATATAAGATTTGGTTAGATTATTTAACATTATATAAAATTATTGAAAATAAGGTTTCTTCATAACTACTTACAAAAGAACATCTGCAGGGGTCACCCAAACAGCTCCTTCGTTGTTGCGCTCCGCTTCGGACATGGGCGCATAGTTAGGGCGGGGAGCTGAGGTCGATTGTTCGTTGCTCATCTAAAATATATTAATTTAATTTGTTTTTTGTTAGAACTCTTATAATAGAAAATCAAATTTTTATGTAAGTATTGTCTATTGTCAATGTATATAACATATTAAACTGGGTGTAAGTTTAATATTAGGTTCCAATAATTGCTAATAAACAAATCCTATAATTATTAATGAGTTGACACAGTCGACCGAAGAATCAACCGGTTGGAGCTCATCAATGAGTTGACCCAGTCGACTCATTGATAAACTCCATCCTGACGATTCTTCAGGCTACGCCTTGAACCATGGATGGGCTACATCACATGTGTTTGGGAGAGTCCATCGATGACTCAAGCCGTAGCCAGAAGAATCCACAGATTGGAGCTTATCTAAGAATTGACTAGGTCAACTCATTGACAAGCTCCAACTGATCGATTCTTCGATCGACTGGGTCAACTCTTTGATAAATTATAGGATGAGTTTATAAGAAATTATTGAACCACTCATATTAAACTTATACACAGTTTATTAAATTTTTATAGGGAAAAATAATAAAAATACCCCAAACTTTGATGGGATGTGACAAGAGCACCACAAACTTTCATATGTAATTTAAATATCTCAAACTTTATATAAAGTTTGGGGTGTTTAAATTACTTATGCAAGTTTGGGGTGCTTACCTCACACCCTTTCAAAGTTTAGGGTATATTTATTATTTTTCACTATAAAAAATTATAGTGAAAAATGCCCTTGGAGGTAACATGAGGGGTCCATATTTTTTCATAATAAGTTCTTCTATATTAGGGGTCCATATTTTTTCATAATAAGTTCTTCTATAGCATATTAAACTATCTATTAGTTTAATATGAGGGGTCCATATTTTTTCACAATAAGTTCTTCTATAATTTGGCAATAAATTGCCCTTGGAGGAAACATGTTAAACTTTTTGCAAAGTTTACATGAGAGGAGATCATTTTTTTTGTTTTAGATATATCATTTTAAAATAAATTTAAAACAGCTTGTTAAATCAAGTTTTTAAAACACTTTTTATTAAAACAGTTTTTATAAAAACAGATTTTATAAAAACAGTTTTTATAAAAACAGTTTTTATAAAAACACTTTTTCTTAAAACAGTTTTTATAAAAACTGTTTTTTACAAAAATCTGTTTAATAAAACAGTTTATATAAAACAGTTTATTTATATCAATTTTTATAAAAACAGTTTTTTTAGATAAATTATAAAAACAGTTTTTATTAAAACAGTTTGTATAAAAACAGTTTTTATTAAAACAAATTTTATTAAAACTATTTTTTACAATAATCTGTTTAATAAAACACTTTAATTAACAGTTTTTATAAAAACAGTTTTTTTATATAAATTATAAAAACAGTTTATATAAAAAACAGTTTGTATAAAAACAGTTTTTATAAAAACAGTTTTTATAAAAACAGTTTTTATAAAAACACTTTTTATTAAAACAGTTTTTATAAAAACTATTTTTTACAATAATCTGTTTAATAAAACAGTTTTTAATTAACAGTTTTTTTAAAAACAGTTTTTATAAAAACAGTTTTTTTTAGATAAATTATAAAAACAGTTTATATAAAAACTGTTTGTATAAAAACAGTTTTTGGAAAAACAGTTTATCTAAAAACAGATTATAATTTAACAGTTTATAATATAAAAAATAAAAATAATTTTTTATGCTTATACTATTATAAAAAACAGTGTTTCGTCCAGTTTTTTTCGGGAATAAATTTATATGTTTAATATTTTGTTAATGGATATTACGGAAATTATATTTAAACGTGTTAACCTATTTTTGGAAGTTTAACACGAGGGGCTATTTATTTAAACAGTTTTTTTAAAATATTTTCATAAATTAAATATTTTCGGAAATTACATTTAAAGTAATACATATGTATAGAGAGGCATGCAAATCAAACACTAAACATATATATTAAACATCGTACTAATTGTATAAGCATGCATTAGTTCGAATACATATTGAGCAAGGTTTAAATAAAAAAAGAATATAATATATATGAACAAGAAAATAAAGACAGTTTATTTAATAAGTTTGTTCAAATATTTTCATAAATTACATTCGGAAATTAATTTTTTTTTTAAATTAAGTTTGTTGAAAAACAGTTTATAAGTACTTTAATCATGCATATGAACATATATTAAACATAAAATAATCTAAATCATTTAAACATAATTATCATGCATACCAAACATATAAACCGATATTATCATGCAAAACTACAAATCATGCATATAATAAATCATACATACAACTTTTGAACATTACAAGATGATATGAAACTAAAAATCATGTATCTTATCATGCATTTGAGTATAGTATCATGCATTTTTGGATTTTATATCAAATATTAGCAAATAAGATGTAAAGAACACATAACCTTGACTGAGAAAAGAAGGGGCGGCGACGGAAGGCGGCGGACGACGGCGGACTACTGGTTGTAGACGACGGGAACGGCGGATGCTAGGCGGCCACGGCGGCGACGGCAGATGCTAGGCGGCGACGGCGACGGCGGCGGCACTAAGCAAACTGGAAGAGAAGGAAGAGAGAAGGAAGAGGTGGTTTAGGGTTTGAGATATGGTGCGTAGGATTTTTTAAAAAAACGCTAAGTGTTTGTTTTATATAATTGTTTAGTCACGGTTGTAGTCACGGTCAGGACCGTGACTAAACCCTTCGTAATTGACGATGTCAGCGAGGCGGTCAGAGCCGCCTTTAATCGGAATAGTCACGGTCATAGCCGTGACTATGACCGTGACTGTTTTCAAAATTTGAAAATAGTCACGGTCATAATCACGGTAATGACCGTGACTATTGTGGTCAGCGCTCCTCTGACCGTTGGCCCTGACTTCGGCATTTACGAAGGGTGTAGTCACGGTCCTGACCGTGACTACAACCGTGACTATTTAATTTATAATTTCATTTTCCTGTCACCCAAGCATTTTATGCTAAAAAATGACTAATAAAGAACCAATTGACTGAGATATGATGCGTACAAGAATGTGTCGTCTGAAACTATGTACACAACTTATTGAACCGAAAAATGAATAAGGTGTGGTTCTGTTCGTCTTTGTGTTAGTTATTACTTATTGTTTATTCTTATTTTATTCAAATCAGATCAGAAAAATTCAGACATGATTTATTATTATTAATAATAATAATTATTATTATTCTTATTATTATTATTATATCGTTATAATAATATTAATTGTGTATATATTAATTGTGTTTATATTACTATTATAATATTATAATACCATCGTAATTGTAGTGTGGACTGTGGAGTATTAAATAAACTGCTTTGAATTTATGTGGTATAGAACAGATTAAGGAGTAATTATTTTACAAACAATAATGATGAAAGAAATTATCAAATATGCTTGGAGAAATTATATCACAAAATTGAAATTACAACAGCACAATTACTCGCTGTCAGAATCGTTATTTTCTACATATATAGTGTCTTCTTCTGTATCTGAACCGTCTATCCATTCACCTTCTTCCTGATATTGAGCATTTTGTTGTGCTACATACATTTCCTCAATTTCGCGCTCAGATGGAATGGTTAGGTCCGGAAGGTGCGTTTCTGGCATGACTTCAACACGTCCGCCATTTGGATCACTTAATTGGACGTTATAGTTGACCGTCTCAACAATAGGCGGAGGTTGGAAAAATTGTTGCTGAAAAGCATCTAGATCAACGTCCTTGTGTTGAGTTTGTGATTTAATTTTGTTCGGACGGACAGGACATGCACACACCCAAGGATTCTGGGTCCGCCTTGTTGTAGGATATTCTGCATAATAAATCTGCGCTGCTTGTTGGGCGAGTATGAAAGGCTCATTTTTCGGGTACACACGAGAGTGGTTGACGTCAATCATATTATACTTCGGATTTTTTCGCACGCCACGTGTGGGATCAACCCATGTGCAGCGGAACAGAACGCATGTCATTTTTTTCGCACTAGAAGGCATCTCAAGTTCCAGAATCTCCTGCAGGACACCCAAAAAATTGGTTTCCGAGTTATCATAACCGATGGTCGGGACACATAACCCGCTGTTCGTTGTTGGTCGGCCCTCTCCGTAATCGGCTGTGTGATATGTGTAACCGTTTATCACATATTGCCGCCACACATTGGCACTGGCACCTGGGCCCCACGCTAATGATACTAACAAAGGGTCGACAATCCCACGACTATTGATCTGTAAATATAAACATAATAATAACATTAGGTAAACATTAGGTAATATATATAATTAATGTGTGTGTATATATACCTGATACTTGTACCAATTTACAAAATCAGAGTCCACCAACGCATCAATTTCATTCTCAGGAAAGGCTGATAAAGAAGCTCGGAATTCACTGCGAAGTCAAAAATAAAAAAAAAACTATAAATTAACTACAAATTTAATTTATAAGTATTACAATTATACCTACAAATTTAACTTACTGATAAAACGGTGAGATTTCTGGACAATTCATGAGGATATAAGTATGCGCAATTTGCAATTCCCCACCCAGGATGTATCGTTGTGTCGCAGCACCTTTACCTCTGCCTGGGTAATTAAAGATGGAAACTACATTTTCATATAAATCCTCGCCAATGTCATCGTTCCGGGCAGGTCTCTTCCTTCTGGTGATGACCTCACGCTCGAAGTAAAAAGACGAGAACGTTGAGATTTCTTGTTGAAGATACGCTTGACAAATTGAAGCCTCAACGTGTGCCTTGTTGGTCACTTTCTTTTTCAGCTCTCCTAGAAATCTGCAATAATGCAATAATACACATGTTAACAGTTATTGTGAAATAAATATATTTTTTTAAATGAAATTGTGACTAACCTTTAAAATCTGTACATCCACCTATAGAAGACGGGCCCAGCAGTCAAAGCCTCATACGGAAGATGTATTATGAGATGTTCCATTGTATCGAAAAACGATGGTGGCATTATTTTTTCCAGATTACACATCAGAATGGGAACAGACTCTTGTAGTCTCCGGAGGGATGCCGCATCCAAAACACTGGAACATATCGATTGAAACAACAAACTGATTTCAGTAATGCAGGACCATACGTGTTCAGGGAGCATCTCTTTTAGTGCAATTGGTAGAAGTCTTTGCATTATTACATGAGCATCGTGAGTTTTCATGCTCGTCGTCGTGGTAAGTTTGTTCATGTCTACGCATCTAGACAAGTTGGAGCAGTAGCCATCTGGAAACTTCTGAGACGCAAGCCATTTTAATATTGCTGCCTTTTGTGGTTCTGTGACCTGGTAGACTACTTTTGGAACTTCCTTGCCCTGATATTCTAGATCAACAGAAAGTTCGGGTCTATCACACCAAATAGTCATATCTTTCCTAGCTGCAAGACCGTCTTTAGTTTTGCCTTTCAAATCCATCACCGTGTTAAATATATTGTCAAAGACGTTCTTCTCGGTGTGCATGACATCTAAATTGTGACGGATGAGAAGGTCTTTCCAATAAGGCAACTCCCAGAATATGCTCCTCTTTGTCCACTTATGGGTATCACAATACCCATATGGCTCTTGGTTTGGCTCTTCCATAGCCGTAGGAAAATGTCGAACCCGGTTATAAATTTCTTCACCTATGTCGTGGTTTCTTTTTACCTTGACGAACAGGTTTGTATCTGTCTCCACCACAGAACTTGCAGAACTCAAGTGCCTCATCCTCCTTCCAGAACAACATACATCCTTCCGGGCACGCATCAATTTCAACACAAGGTAGCCCCAACTTAGACATTAACTGCTTCATGTGGTAATATGAATCGGGAAGGGTATGATCTCGCGGTAGCATCCCTCCTACTGACTGCAAGACTCTATTCATGCAAGTTTCAGGGAGACTGTATTCGGCTTTTATGTTCATGAACTCAGTAACAGCGGATAGCTGAGAGTATCCCTCACAATCAGCATACAGAGGTTGGTCGACAGCTTTTAGAACATCCTGAAATCTCTCAGCCAAACCTTCATCCACATAAGGTTGATAAAATGTCGGATTTTCATCCGCATCTGGTTGATACGAGGTTGAGGCTTCAGGGGGGTCGTTAGGTGGTTGTGGGGGGTTGAATTGAGACGGTACACCGTATGCGTCATATACCATTTGTTGGTCCCACCTCATTTCAGCACGGTCTCCCCACGCACTCATCTCTGGAGGGACGTAACGAGACGAACCTACCGTTTGTGGTATAACAGATGGATCCAAAGGTTCGCCGTGAGAAGTCCAATTATAATAATTGGGAACAAAACCGACCGCGTACAAATCATACCCAACTTCGTGTGGGTCTTTAAATTTGAGATTTTTACACTTTGAACATGGACATCTTATTTTATCACCACTCATATAAGCCGGATGTTCAAGTGCAAATTCAATAAATTCCCCGACTCCCTCGAGAAAATTTGATTGCATTCCGTACAATACCGCATCTTTATCATACATCCAACTTCTATTTTGTTTATACATTATGCCTGAATATTATAATAAAAAATTATATGAAATGCAATGCACACAATTTTAAGTAATTTATTTCACTAAATATAATCAACTAATTTTCACTTTTTTAAATGAAATGCACAGAATTCACAACCATAATGCACAAAATATATGTCCCCTAATGCACAATAATGCAGATAATTTCACTAAATTAAACATACGTTTAATTAAATCTAACTAATTCATTTAGTTAAATTTAACTAAATTTAACTAGTTCATTCCGTCCCCTTTTAATGCATCACTACGTTTAAACCTACGTTTAGCTACCTAATTTAACTTAATTAACACATCAATAGCTACGTTCAAACCTACGTTTAGCAAACGAATTTTAATTAAATTATTTTTGTAAACCTACGTTTAGTTTAAACCTACACTAAATTATTACGTTAATGACATTTAATCTTATTAGTAATACACAATTAACAATTCACTAAATTAAATAATATGACCAAATTCAACCCAATAATTTGAACATGTATATAAAGTTATTTGAATTAATAAGCAATACACAATTCACAATAACAATTCACAATTCACTTAATTAACACATTACTAACGTACGTTATTTGAACTAATTTCACTAAACATAAACATCATTACGTTTTAAACTACGTACATTTAGCTAACTAATTTTAATTAAATTATTTTATAAACCTAAAAGTTTAACTAATTCTAATTTATGACATTACTACGCTTATAGTTAAAACATGTTGTTAATTAATTAACAACCTCACTAATTTAATAGTTTTAATAATTTAAATTGAACCAACTAATTCTAAATAAAAATTATAATTCAAATAACATACCTTATTATCTGCATAAACAGGAAAAATGATAGAAGATAGACTACATCCTTCGATCTTTCAAACGGATACTGTATATACTGGGAATGAATTGATGTGGTTCTGTTCAATGAGCTGCTCCTGCATATATATAAAATTTAGTCACGGACTTAGTCACGGATTTGTCCGTCACTAAGCAAAACCGTGTCCAATACGCGTCCAACACGTGTTAATGACGTGTTAATGACGTGTTAATCAAATTAGTCACGGAACTAGTTAAGGACATGGCCGTGACTAAAGTTATCCGTACATAATACCGTTGCGCATTAAGTTAAGGGAGTTGAAAAAATTAAAATTTAATTATAGTCACGGGTATAGTCACGGATTTGGCCGTGACTAAGTCGTCGGAGTCAAATAAACTTCGCCGGAAACGGAAACGGGCCTATCGGAGGACTTAAGTCACGGGCCCAGACCGTGACTAACATTAGTCACGGTCATAGTCACGGTCTGGACCGTGACTATTTTTTTTTTAAATATCCGTGACTAGTCCGTGACTAGACCGTGACTAAACTAGTCACGGACCAAATCCGTGACTAAAATCCGTGACTATAACGATGTTTTTTTGTAGTGATGGTGACACGGGTTTTAAGAAAAGTGGGTTTGTGTGGTTGATATTAATTGATAAAGTAAGAATAAAGTAAGAATAAAGTAAGAATAAAGTAAGAATGATTTTGACTCACACAAAGTTTACCAAATAAGGTATGAGGCAATTAAATAGGGACATCCCAATATGGTAAAACGGGACATAGTCATGGACCCGGGCCGGTCCGGTTCCGGGCCCGTCCGGGCTTTTTTTTTTTGGGAAGGAAGGCCCGGGACCGGCCCGGGTAGCCACCGGGTCCAGTCCGGGTCCGGGCCGGGCCTCCGGTTCGGGCAATTTTTTTTTTTTTGCTTTCCTAACCCCCCCCCCCCCCTCCTCACCCCCCCAAACCCCCAAACCCCTCCTAACCATCAAGCCCAACCCAGCTAACCCCAAAAAATGAAAAAAAAAAAAAAAAAAAAAAAAAAAAAAAAAATCAATTCGGCCCGGGCCCGACCCGACCGGTTCGCCAAATACAAGGCCCGAGCCCGGACCCACCCCCCACCGGGCCTAGGCCCGACCCGGACCCAGACCCGAGAACTGGGCCTGTTCCGGGCCCGCACAGTGGCGGGCCGGGCCGGGCCGGGCCGGTCCCGGGCCGGGCGGCCCGAACCGGGTCCATGCTTAACGGGACATTTAAAAGGGGACGGAGGGAGTAGTAGTTAACTACTTAACTTCCTCTAACACTCGAGTATGTAAGAATGCCTCCTCACCCAAAACAAGCTGTCATAAGCTATTATAGTATTCCCCAAGAAAATTGAAATCATCCATATATGACGTGAGAACAAAAGTTAATAAATAGAATATTTACCTCCTTATTTCAAATACATTTTCTATATTTGCTAATCTTGTTCAGACAATGTCAAACACACCATCTAGTCATAGATCACGTTGTGAACTAGTGATTGAAATTATTAATATAAAATAACTAAAAACATACGGAGTACTACATATAAGATCATAAAAAGATCTAGGGAGTATTAATTTAATTTTATACCTTTTAAAAATGTGTACACTTTTTTTACCCGGAGTCAGGTGAGAGGGTTGGGGGGTCAGGGTAAACTGGGTTCAAATTGGGACTTTCAACAAAGGAGAGTGAGTCGACGCCAATTTGGTCGTATTCAATATGGTCGCTCGCCAATATAATTTCCAGGTGGATAATAATTACACGTCATGAAAACATCACCATCATCACAAACAGACCTCACACACCCAACCCTCGACGTTCTTCTCCACACAATCTGAGTGTAATGCCCACAAACCTGCCCATCTTCACAAGAGTTGCTCCCATAGTCGTAATACTTCTCCTCTGCAGCCCAGGCGTTGACCGCGCGTCGCTGGGGGTCCAACTGGTCCCACTCCCCCAATACAAGTTCTCCCCGAGCTTGAAATCCCCCTCCGGGAAGGAGTGCACCAGCTGGCAGTCTGCCTTCCTCTGGCCTGCCCACCACCTGGCGTAGCTCTCCAGCTGTGGGTCCCACACCAGCGGGGCCTCCCACTTGGCTGCCCTGACCAGGTTGTGCTGGAACAGGAACCGTACGGCCTCTCCTAGGCAGTTCCAGCAGAGCTGTTTGGAGATCGTGTAGATGGTTTCATTGTTAAGGTTTTTCATGGGAGATAGTGATAATGGTGATGATGATGATGCCATGGAGAGAGCTAGTAGAAGGAGAAAATAAAGGGTGGTTTTCATTTTTTGGTTTGTTAGGGCTCAAATTACTGAAAGCTATCGCATATATATGTACTTTTGAGAAGGTTACGTTCGATATATATACAGTATAAATACGTACCAAAAATATACTTAACCAAAATTATACTCGATCCATACTACGTACGTAAGTGCACAAATATGTAGTACTTGTTTCTTTAATTTCTTTAAGGTGACAATTCCGGTAATCATTTAAAAAAAGATAGATTCTATGATACCCAAAATGTACCATACATTTGTCCACATGAACCAATCAGAATATTGCAGTTGAATTATTTAAGTCTAAATTACAAATGATATATCTACTTGAACCAATCAAGAGAATGATAGGTACGGTACCTCATTTTTTAAATGGGTACCGGAGTTCTCACCTTTAAAAATGGGGTACCGTACCTATCATTCACACGATTGAATAGGAGTCATAATTTGAATTGTGATTGGAGAACAACGTATACCCTTAATTATAGGGGTTTATTAAGAAATTAAATAAAGAATAATGTAACCATCGAGGTTGATTGGGCCATTGGGTGCATGGCTTATAAAGACCTTCAAATTAAATGGGAGGCCTGGGATCCGCGTTGCGCGGTTTGGTGAATGCCCAATATTATGTATATCAGTATATGAAATATATTTTTGTGGAATTCACACTATGAAATTCAAATTACACACAAAAAGGGCAAAAATAAAGACACATGTAATATGTTTACATGTAGCACGTGTGTCGCCCATGGCATAAGGGGCATGATGACTTGATGTGATCCTCATCAAAAGTCTCTCATATACTGAACACACATACACACAATGAATGAGTTCTAATACAAAGAGATCTTCCCATGAAAAGTGAGAAGTGATGTAAGCCGCGATCACTTTAAAATGGACGAAATAGATTAAAAATCATAGTAACAAAATGTTAAACACAAATGCACAATGCTAAATAGTAAAAGTGCACATGCGATATGTAAGGTTGCACATTCACCTAGTTAAAAAATATCACAAAATAACTTCTATAATTGTCATTTTATTTTGAAAAGTGATGCATTTTTGTGTTACACAAATGCGCCTTTTCTCCATATAAATGCACATTTTCACTCATTTTGATTTGCTAATTAGTTCGGGAGAAAACATATGAACAATTGTGGCTCATGAAAAGTAAAAAAGATCTACTAAAAATCGTAAAGATGTGATGAAAATTTTGATAAATAGGGATGTTTTCACAGGGACTGATTGTCATCTCGGACCATTCCAAAATAGACCAGACCAAAATTTAAAGATCAATACAAAGTTAAAAAGATTAGACCATACCAGATCGGACTTTGATAGTTCTAAATTAAATACATATAGGCCAGACATCACCTGATCAGACCAGACAAAACCATACTCAAATAAACCCAATTATAGATCAAACCCAATCAGGTCAAAAAATTACAATCCAATTAAAAACACCCGAATAGCTTAAAAAGGATCTAAGTTTTATGGGAACAATTTAAAATTCACTATCAGTCAAAAATATTACTATGTAGTATATACTAAGAGCATGTTTAGTATGCAGAAGTCTCTACATTCTAGCTTTTGTATTATCTAAAAACATTGAGTAGCATTTGAGAAAAGTCTTTAGCTTTTAGCATTAATTAGTCAGAACAACTTTTATACCAAACATAACGGAATCAAGCAGTAAGTTTTTTATCAAATAGCTAACGACTTCTTCTTTTAAAAAATATTTTGAATCATTAAAGCTAACCATTATTGAAAAAATTTAAAAAGTATCGTTTTAGTTATTTGTGTCAAACATACTTACATACGTATATGGTATAAGAATGTAAAAATATGTTCCGTAAAATTCACTCCCATCTGGGCTTTGTAAAATGGTGTTTGCACCACCATATATGTTTGGGGAGACCTGGCAAAATTCCCAAGTGATATTCTTTTTATTGGAATTGCAAAAAGGTAAAAGACGGTTTATTAAAAATCAAAATAAATATTATAGTCCACATTAAACTCACTAAAGAATTAAAAAGCTTAAGGGAACGGAAATGATCGAGGATTCCTTCATGGCTTAACCGCAAGCAACGCTATGTAAACGGAACAAGAGGATTACAAAAGTCAATATTGAAAGTGTACAAACTTATTATGCATATTGAACAAATTGTTATTGCTTCTTTATTACACAAACATTTTTTCATTCCTAATACAACCTTACCATCATGGTTGCTTATACTTTTTTATTTATTATGTAAGATATTGATCCACAGGGTTTGCATGTTCTCAAAGAGTCTTGGAAGTTGGTTGTCCAGATGAGTTAGGATGTTTTTATTTGGAATGTAATTTGATGGTCTGATCTGGTTTGATCCGATTTGATCTGGGACAGATTAAAGTCCAAGTAAAAACATCCATAGTTATAGATTACGAAAGCAAAGGCACTTTTATCCTTATTATACAACAACATTATATTACTCGATCGGTTACTAGAAAACTAAGTACATCCGACCCTCTAGAAAATAAAAATAAAAATAAAAAAAACGTAATAATGATTATACGAAATTACGAACGCATAAAATGATGGGAATGAACATTTTATTTGGACAATGTTTTTGGGTCTACCATTGCAACCAGAATATTTTCGAGAACCATCCATGGAGCATGGACGGAACTTTCCAAATAGCAGTGTGCAGGATAGAGGGGATCGGACCCTGCAGCAGATGGATTGCAATCATTGAATGCCCACCGGCCACCACCGAGCATGGCCGCCTAGCTGGGCCCAGTTAACAGCTTATTTTCAAAAAAATAAAATTTCAAAATAAATCTGTTGAAATATTGAGCCCGTTTGGCAGA